AATGAAAACCTATGAATATTATATTCCATTTCTGCCAATAGCTAGTGCTAATTGTTACCCACTGGACCTTTAAATGAAACCAGAATGGGGATATCATTTCTACATTTTGCATATAAACATAAATATCTTGAAGAAAAATGTATTAAATAATAAACATAGTTTGTTTACTCATTTCCAAAGGTGTGGCTAAAAAAGGAGAAAAAACAAATAAGAGAGTGGTGGAGCTGAGAGATGACTCACTGAAGCTTCGTTGAGAGGCTCCTCGTGAATAGCAGGTGTGGGAGGTGTCCCCTGTAGAACAAAAACAAACAGCAAGCAAAAATTAATATAAAATAACAAAAAAGTGTCAACTCATAGAAATTACAACAACGGCAAACTATGATACCTATCTTATCTATACTGTAGCTAACATGCGTAATTGTATCAGAAAAGGAGAGAGCAGAAACAGACAGTAAAGAGGGTTTTTTGTCACTGCATTGACATTCTGTCTGCAGCACACAGCTGATTAAAGCATTATTTGTCAAATTTAGAGAAACCACGTTCTCAGTGTTCTCTACTCAGCTTTCACGCTAATTGATTTGTACTAGGTGTAGCTCATTGTGTTATTGTTTTTATTGTTTTTAAATTGTTCAATTATAATTCATCCACCAACCCCAGGGCTTATGTTAAACTTGCACCATAAACACCCAGAATTTCCAGAGTCTGTACAACTAGGCTACTGTCAGAAGCATGCACATAGGGTATATTTCACAGGTTGACGTCATTAAAAATGACTGCCAGTGCAATGTTAATGCCATGCACTGAAAGGTTCGATTCTTCAAAATCACTTGCAGGAAAAAGGTATTCATATCCGTAAATGCATCATATGAATGCCTAAGCCCTGAAGAGGTTTGGCAGGTCTGCAGCCTGTGATTACATCTAATCGCCTTTTTCATTTTCTGCTATTGCTACAGAGGTGCCAAGGCAGAACATTTGGTTCAAATGCCCTTCTCAGCCATTTACAAAAAGGATTTAAATTATGTGAAAAAGAGGTATAAAAAAGAAAAATGGTGGAAAGGTCTTGTGCTCCTTGCAACAGCAGCCACCTTTATCCTGTGAGGATGTTGGAAGGAGAGACCAGGTGTTAACGTGACAAGTTAAGGTGAGATATAAGGGACGCCTGAAGCTTAAGCATTGTGAACTTTGCTTAAAGGCCCGAAGCATTCTGAAATGGCCAAGCAGATGTCAAGCTTTGCGGAGGGGGAACAACGGAAAGCAAAAAGCTCTCTGGGCCAATGATGCGATGCAGAGGTACGTGAACTTTTGCTTTCTCATAAACAGCCACATGAGTTCTGAAGTATGTGTGTGATTTTGTTTTTGTTTTTTTGAATGGTAAAAACAAGAGTTGCCTGAAGCTCATGCAATGTTTTACAGTCCGATGATGGACAAACAGGTTAGGGGGCAGATGGTTTACCGCTTGCTTCCTCTTAGCTGTTTCTTGGCCAGGCGTCCTGTAGTGGATATGGCTGTTATCCATGCTGCTCTGTCTGTCTCGGGACCACTGTGTTTTCAGAGGAAGAGTTCGAGGGGGAGCGGTCGGATATTTGGAGCTAGAGAGGAGATTCTCTTTAAAGTCCGAATTGTTTTGAAAATGATCCTCATGTAGCGCGCCTCCTCTTGCCCACTGACTTTGCCCAGTTGTACCTCTGCTGTCTCTGAGCTCCTGTTGTCCAAACAACTCCTTCTTAATCTGTTGATGCAGGAGAGATTGCTGCTGATATGACATTGCAGCTTCACCGTGGTATTTGGTGGGCCCTGTGTTTTCCTCGACAACATCTGTAGCAGATTGCAGTACAGTATTATCCACTCTACTTTCTGCCTCACAGGATCCATCTTTTGATTTTGTCATCTCTACATCCCCAGTTACAGCAAAGGCGCATCTATCAGACTGGCTTTGAGTTGGAGAGTTTACAACACCTTTGTTCTCTTTATTCAAAGACTTCTTTGATCTCTGTGGCTTGAGTGGAACTATTTTGGTGACTTCTGAATGTGAGTTCCCCGTTTTGTTGCAATCTTTCGTTCGCATGGGGCTTGGGTCTTTTATTTTCCAAGTCTCACAATGCCTCGCGTCGCTCGCACTTCTGCCCCCATTGCCCGTTAGGAGGGAGTCCACAGCCACCGGAGTCTCAAAGGTCTTTGGTCTCTCTCGATGAATATTGTGCTCATACTGACAATGCCTCATATCTCTGTTGATCAGTGCACTCCTCTGTTTGCCCGGTGGAGATCCACATCCATTTTCCTGAATGACATTCCTCGCAAATACAGAATCATGATGCCCGTTAGTTGCTACTGTTTCATCCATGGCGTTCATATCCAATAGTCCTGTTGCTGTGAAGTCTGTTTCCTGTTTTGGTGATGTTCCAGGTCTAGTTTTTAAAGAGTCCCAGGGTGTCTGAAAGTTGTTCATATTCGCTTCAGTCCAAGGTGTCACAGAGAACGTGTCACTATCTTCAGAAGAGGTCTTACTCGTTTCCAATTTAGAGTAAGTATCCAGCGCTCCTTCATAAGCATCCTGCTTGTCAAACAATATGGCAGAACAAGTCGCCTATGTTAACATAGAGTAGACAGTTGCATTAGCCTAGCTAGATACACTACTCTTCTAATTGAGCTATTATTGTTACCCCATTTAATTAATGTAGTGAAGAAAAACAGTGATTAACTGCGCTGGGTGCATTATCAGATTTTCTGTGTTTCGGCTCAGCGGAATCAACATTTTGACAGAGAATAGAGAGGCTGGGAACGGGTGACCAACATAAACTTTCCTGAAAATCGTAAAATATAGCAAACAAATTGTAGTATAGTAAGTGTTGTAACTTAGGAAGAGAATCTCATTCTTACTGGTTTACGCTCGGGGGTTCCTCCAGGAGGGGTAGCTGAGGAGAGGCGCTTCTCCCTCTGGACCATCTTGCTATTGGGCTGCCTCAGAGCCCTCTTTAGCTCATTGATGCTGGCCTGGTGCTTTTGTAGAACATCCTCTGGCTTATCCAAGAACTGCTGCTTACACAGTGAAGGGCACACCAGGGACACAAAACGTTAACGTTAGTTCAAATCCTAGCTCTATATTTTAAAGTTACAGTCATTTATACAATTGAACTAGATATGGATTTAAGTTGAAAATTAACTTGGAGGTTTTTCATTGTAAATGTGTTCTCTAACTCTGAGGAGGGTGTGGTGCATGATTGTGTGTTTTTCGTATTGTAACTGTGTTAATGAATTAAAAATGGCACCACATGGCTGTGTCGTTACAAGGTCTTAATGATGACCAGAAACTGATATAGACTTCATTACTGTACACTCTAGATTACAGGGACAAATTGTATTTAGTAGTATATTTTCCAAAAAGGACTTTGTTGTTGTACATCTTAAAACCATTGATAAATAACCATTTGCACTCTGCCTAAGAAGGCACCTACCAGTCTTCGGAGGATGGAGCACAAAGCCCCAAACTCACTGAAGTTTGTAATTATTCAAAGTCTACACATATAACAGAAAAAGACTGAGAATGGAAAAAGACAAGGGAATATTGTTCGGAAAATATGAAACTTTCATGCATTTAAGAAAACAGTTCACTTAATGAAATATCTAACAAATAACCCAAATGTTTTAACATGAACTCCACGGCTATTGCTGTTTATTATGAATTATGAATAAGAAAACACAGCACACCTGATGAGGGTCACACACAGCACATGCCAAAAAGAGAGGACAAGCAGTACCTCCTGTTTTGGCCGCGGGGTGGCCAGATCCTTGTCCGATAGATGAGGGAGCCCGAGGTGGGGCAAGTGAGATGAAGTGAAGGGTTTTGAGCAAAGCAGGAGGTTGAGGATTGGGGGGTGGAGAACAGATGCGTGCAGAGACAAAGAGGTAAAGTGCTGCAGGTGAGTCAAAGAGGCAGGCGGCCAGACGGACAGACAACAGAAACAGTTGACACGATTGGGGCTTTTGACTAAGACTAAGCCATTTAATGTTCTGCCAAGAAGACAGGGACAATCATTTTTCAGTGTCAGCCAATTTACAATTAATGCAGTCATCTATTGACTGAACATAAGTGCTTGGAGAGGGGGATTATTCCTATACTTCTTCATCCAGAGATTTGGTGAGAAGGCATTACAAAACCACAAATGAACAGACCGTTCAGTGACTAATGCAATGCCAATATCTCCTGCAGTACTTAATAAGAGTACCACGCGCACAGGAATAATATGAGACTAAATACACTGGAACCAACTTTCCCATATACATTTTTAAAAGATGAACTTCATGAGCATCTATATAACAAATAAGAATGTGTATCTAGAAAGCCTGTTTTGCATTTAAACAGTTTAGAAATGATTATTAATTCAATAAAATACTGGGATTTTGATGCATGCTCACCTGGCACACCAGGAGATTTGTCAACTGGGGAACCACTGATTCACTGAATCATCAACAGTGCTTAAGGGCCATCTGTTTATCCTGCTAATAACAATCAATCCCTCTAGTTTCACACAGGGACACTGTTAAAGATGCACGTGTTTGAACATGTGTTGACAATTAAAAAAAGCTGGAAAGCTTTCTCCACTTGTATTGCTTCAGTCAATCTGGATAAGAACTTAATGCCCATGAATAAACTCTAATCCACTGAAACTATTTCCCAGTGGGCAGACAGAAAAAAGAAAGAAAGAGCCTGAATAAATGTATATTAAACATTTAGTTTCTATTCATCTGAAGATCGATTCATGCAGTTTCCATGGATCAGGAATCCTGGAAACCATGACATGAAAAGAAATAACATTCCCCCAGAGACAAACAATCAAAAAAAGGATTTTTGTTGAACAAAACACAGAGTACGGATGCATGACCTACAACCACCAAAACCACAGAGACAGACACTAAGGTCCAAGGCCAAAATACCTCTGGTTTTGAGTCTACAGGCGAGCCTGCCTCCTCACCCTGCAGGAGAGGACGGGGTGGACGACAGAGAGGTCAGAGAGAAGAGAGCAGCGGTTAGCAAAGTCTGTTAACATTACAGCAGGGAGAAGAGAAGAACTGCCGGATGCTGGGTTAAAAAAATAACTTCTGCAGCAAAGAGGTCAAGTTAGATTTTTGGGAGGCGATTTAAAAAATGTAGAGAAGACTCAAAACTGACTCAAACTGAGAACTGACTTATAAGTCTGGGAATGAGCAGAAAATGGTGTAAATTAGGCCAAATAGAGAAAAAGTAGGGATAGTGATTACAGTCTCAAATGAAAAGGAATGTGAGAGAGAAGGATGAGGAGTGTTAGTCAGAAATTCATGGGGGATCTTTCTGACTAGGGGTGCAGCAACTGCTGTGTACTTTTCCAAGTGGAACTGCTTTTGTATATTTCATTGTACTCTCCTCAAAACTATAATATAGTCTTCACACTTGAAAGGAAATATTTAATTTATCAGGTGAGTGTTTTTCATTTTCATTGTTAATTGGCTGGCTGTGGCTCAATAACAGTAATAAACCAGGGCAGCAAGAGCTGCAATAAAGGCAAGTTTCTGTGTATTTGTCGTATCCTCTCATCTTGTACCTTAAGCTCCAAAGTCTTCGTGGGTGTTGAGATGTTGGCACCCCGAGTATGCTTCTGAAACTGATCGTGGTCCTGAAGGTCATGCTGCTCTAGCTCCTGATCTGTGTACTGGTCCTGGTCCTGGTCCTGATAGTGGTACTGTTCATGGTCCAGGTCCAGGCTTCCCTCTTGGTCCAGGTCTTCTCTGGACATGAACTGTGTGCGTTCACTGGAGCTTCGCTGGGACAGCTGGTCCATACTGTCACCTAGAGCTGAGGCTGGTGAAGTGTGAAGGGAGGGAAACATCAACCACTTGAACTACATGTTAAAGCTTTTTCATGACAGGGTCACATATCTCAGTAGGCTGATAAATGAACATCCATGTGGACAGTGAAGTGGTCGGGGTTCTTACCTCCATCAATGCTTCGAGGCAACATGTACCTCTTGCTAACGGACCTATCAAACTGTGGGGCAGGTCTGTCGATCAGAGCACTGGCCTGTCTGGTCTGGGCTTGGGTCCGCCCACTGTAGCGGAACTTGGAGCCAATCACCAGGAAACCCTTGGGGGGCGGCTCTGGGGAAACCAACCTGCAGGGAAGTTCAGTTTGTGTAAATCTACCACAAATAATCCTTGTCGACATCTTTTACCTAATTACACAGTTTAGTGCCTGATAGAGAAAGAGGGGTAACCTTTAATTTTACTGGTCCTTAATGTGCTAATAATTTTGTGTGAAGTTTCCTAAAAATATACTGTGCCTTGCCAAGAAATAGCCTGGTCCTGTAAAACCACAATGTCAAAAAGCTTACACTTTTACACTTCGTACAGGCAGACTATAAGGTGTTTATTTGTGAGCTTTAAAGGTAAGTAGGCAGATTTCATTACCTTCAGACAGAGTAAGGCTGGGTTGCTGTTTCCCCCTGTTTCCAGTCATAAGCTAAGTTAACTATCTCCTGGCTGTAGCTTCATATTTACCATGAAAGTATCGATCTTTTCATTGAAGTTGACTGGAAAAACCCAAGGGAATAATGAATTATAGAAACTTTATACTACATAAGTGATGCATTGTATGATTGCCTGTAAACAAATTCCACATGTTTGCAAATTCATTTGACCTGCTGTGCACTAACTAAAGGCATCACAATAGCAATTAATTTGAATTAATTAATTAGAAGTGTACTTAGTGATATCTTTCTCAATATTCCCTATAATTAGTAACAAATCACCATGTCTTCTTCAGGAACCTTCCTTTGAATTTACCATACAAATATCAGTTCCTTTCCAACTATGGGATCTGTAAAAAGGTGTTACCATGAAAAGTTATGGAATCAACACATTTGTATTATGATTGTCACTTAAAGGATAGCTCTACTGTGCCAATTTTTAAGATTTCATGCCGGGCAGAAAAAGTGTGTTTGTCTGTGTATCTGTGAGCATCAAGTCCTACCTGAAGAAGGTGTGGTGCTCAATGCAGACCTTCCACAATCGCTTTGAGGCCCGATGGTTGGGCAGCTTGAAGCCTATGGTGCTCTCAAACTGTTCATACTGAGCAGTGAGGGGAAGGAGTGGAGGAGGAGGAGGAGGAAGAGGAAGGGAGGTGAAGAAGAAAAGGAGAGTGAAGGGAGTGAGTGAGGGTTAAGATGGAGGGATGGTAGCAGGGTAAATAGTGTTTACTCCGCAGCAATGGAAAAATCAATGTTATTTTTCTGTTTACTGGTAGAAATATATTCTCGTGTCACCTACTGCCATGTCAGGTAGATTTTCCATCTCTAACCAACCTACAAATTAGCCGCTTACGCTCTCACTCCATCAGATGTTCAGTGGTTTGAACAGAAAAAGACGCTTTCAAATCAATAGGTTATTAGCAATATAACAGGATTTTAAGCATTAAGAGTCGTCCATTCACAAGAGAAAGCCAACTTTTTTTCCCCCACACAAAAAAATCTGTGGGGACAGTTTAAAATAAAAGGGCTTTAAAACACAATGACGACGCTTCAGGCAAATTTGAAGTGACAGCTGACTTAAGAGGATAGATCTGCAGAACAAAGTATATGCACAGAATGGCCTTGGTATTCACAATGAACATGTCAATGTCAGTTTAACAGTGGATATAAAACACACTGCTGATACCCTGAAGGCCAAAGAATGTCAGAAGAAACAGCAAATCATAATAATTTTAGGGACTTGAAAACCAGAGCGAGCATAATGTGGCTCAAACATTTACAAGTAAAATCCTTGATGAAAGTGCAAATCTTCATCACTCGTTAATCACGTTTTAGCCACAAAGGAAGAGAGAAGGAGGAGAACAAAAACTTTACCTAACAGCCTAATTTTTAACAACAGTAGCTCTGAGGGCTATAAATAATGTCTGAAAAAATAGTCCTCGTCAGTTGTCACATGGTTTGCTGCAGATAAATCGCAGAAGTAACACTTTTATCAAACCATGAAATGACTATTTATGCAGCTTGGGACGAGTCAAGAGAGACAATGATGTAATTTTAACAACTGTGAAACCATGAAATAGAAATGTGGAGTTGGCTCTTTACCAAATGATCCCTCATTCCGCTTGCCTCGGCTTTGCCAGAGTGACTGTTATGAGTTGGGATTGTGCATGCAATAATTGTGCAGTGAACTCCTCAGTCAGGCAAGATGCAAAATACAAGGTAATGACAATTTTTATTTACCTCTCCTGGGCGGATCTTGATGTAGAAGTTGCTTCTTTTATAGGAGATCTTGAGGATTTTTGGCCAGGCGAATCGATTGATCCTTAGACGGTCTCGGTAGATGAGCAGACCGTTGGCGCTCACGCCGAGCATTATGTCAATTCCTTCTGAATCCTGGTGAACACAGGCATAAATAGCATCACAAAACCTCTGATAAAAGTGCATTGACAGATGAAATGTCTGAGAGTTTTATCTATATACCTTAGCATGATGCAAGTCCACCCCATACATTGAAAGCTTCTTGGCATTTTCTAGAAAGTTCACCTCTGCCTCTGCTGGACTCATTCCCCTACGACACAAATGCCACACATGATTCATCTCTTCTCTCATATTCATCCCACAAATCAAAAATACCAGCATTTCTCATTATCTTTATGGCATTTAATTTAATTAATGAAGTCATATTTTCTTTGACCTATAGTTATGGTGCAGCTCCATCACTCTCTCCTCCAGCTCACGTGTCTGGTTGGGCGCAAAGCGGAAGTCGCTGACATAGTCGGGGCCATGTTCCTCGGGCTCGTAGTCTCCCAGTTCAGCCTGGACGGTGTAAGAGCCCAGAAGTGCGTGAGTGACAAAGGAGCAGGGCAGACGACCAGACAGCATGTCGTCCCTCAGCTGCAGGCACAGGTAGTACCTAAAGAAATGCAGGAGGTAGAGGCAGAAATACTGCTGACACTTCAAGCCTCTACATCACCAGGAAAACATCTGTGAAAAGCACTGTTGTCTTACAGTCACAGTCCTTATCTGACGATGCCTGTATGTCTGTCTGTCCACCACTTGGTCTCGAATGAAATATCTCAACAATTATTGGATGGATTACCATAATATTTTACACAGATATTCATCTGGCTCAGAGGATGAATCTTTGGTGATCCACTTGATTGCATTTACTGCCCTCATCAGATCAAAATTCTACTCATGTCCACTAATTTGGTGTGTGACCAAATACCTGCAGAATTCATTACATTCCCATCAGCACCAGCTGTACTTTGTGGTTCGTGCTAATTAGCATGGTAACACACTGAACTAAGATGGTGAACATGGTTAACACTTAACCTGTTAAATATGTTAAAACAAACATTTAGCTCATTCTATATTGGTGTATGAACATTTTTAAAGGTGGAATTCTTCTAAGTTGGCCCTGGTCTGCTTATTTTCCACCTAAAATGTAAAAGAATACAGCTGGGTTTAGTATTCATCCTTAAGCTTCTGTACATTGCAGTCAATGTAGTCAGTATCCTATGCATCAATTAGATGGATGATGTAGTAGGGCTTCGGACTTAGCTCCAGCGAACTGACCGTCTTTGTCTATCCTACAGTAAAAGGCAGTTCTCTCAAATGACCTAAAATGATTGTTTTCTTTTACTTTTATAGTGCTATTTGTGGGGTTTTTAGATCATAATCACCATCAATCCAACAGAATTGTGGTGGAAACTCACTGAAGAACTCAGCAACATGTTATTCCAGAAACAATTTCACAGATATTTAGAATAATCCTCAGACTTCACTCTCAATAGTTAAGCATAAAATGGGCCCTAATGAAAACTGCAAAATAATACAGTTTTTGGCAATTGACTACTTGTTGACAGAAAATAGTTGCAATAGGAACTTGCAGGATGTTGTGTGGATCAGTAGTGTTTTGCAGGGTATACACAGGTATACAGAGGCATTGAATATAGCCACTTCTAAATCCCCTTCAATAAGAATCATTCAGTGTTCTGCAATCAAAAATGTTTTCCTAGGATGGCATAGTTAATAATTTTCACAAGTAGATGAAGTAAGGATCAAGGAATACTTAACTCAAAATGTAAAATATTTTCATAATACGCCTTACTGCATGAAATCAAGCAGCAGAATTTAAGTGACAATGTGCAAATACTACTGGCCTATTTTTGGGTGAGCTAAATATACAAGAGTAGTCTTACATGTCACTGTTTATAACATATGGCATTTATCCTTCGCTGGACGGGCCGCTTTAAAATAAATTTGGGTCATAAATTAGCATACCCACTTCTCCAGGCACCACTACACCACTGGTGTGGATTATTGGGGAGGTTTTATGTAAAAAAAAAACAAAAAACATTTTGACCACCACAAATGACAAATTCTCTTGCAGTGGCATAAGATCAGAAAAATCTCACAACATTGGCACAAAAAACTTGGGAGTATCTGAATAGCTTAATACCTCTACAGTAAATGTATGTTTTGTGTGTAATTTGGGTGAACAGACCTTTCAAGTTGTCTCTTAAAACATTTATACACATGTATTTTTGGTCTTGTTCTTTGCTTTGGTCATGATTGTAATAGTTGGTCTAGATCAAAGCCTAAAAATATCCCAAAACCTCCTTTACTGTATCTCTGCATGGAGTACATGAAGTACATACACTCTAGACAACTGAGAATAATCATTAGAAATACTGGCTTACAGATTGAGTTCTTTGATGGATGGATTTTTTGTGTGTCTTGCACCACATTGTGCCCATTAAACAACAAAGACAGTCACGTAACAGTTCATAATGTACAGTTCAACAAGTTCATAAAGACTTGTTCTGCCACCAGCAGTTGGTTTCAGTTGAACATTATGTTGCTAGTGGCAACCACTGCCGGCATTGTTACATCCAGCCTCTCGTCAGAAATGTGACCAAGCAAATCTTGACAGGCATCTTTTATCTACACCCCCAATGCACTTGTTGGAGCATTTTCTATAGATACTTATGGCTGTTGTGTTTCTGATGTTTTGTGGTTTTGTTGTTAATTTAGTTATTCTAAAATCAGTGGGCTGCTAACCAAGCTAGCCACTTACACTTAACACTAACACTAGCTGTCTGAGGCTAAAATGGTAGTAATACAACATTCTGGGCTAACTGTAAGCTAATTTGCTGCTAACTGTTTCTCTTCCTACTTTTACTTTTGCATCATGTTGTGTATGTTTGCTGAGTGTTGTGTGTTACAATAGTGTGTACAGTATTTCCTATGTTGATCTGTCAGAAATGCATCTAATTTGAAAGCAAGCTAGTCTACACTTAATTGAATCCAGTTTCCTTGATAGTGTGCAAATTCATTCTGACAGCATGACAGGTCACTTTGATTGAAAAGCCGATTTGTGCATTTAGCTCCCTGCATAGGGTACTCTGTCTCAGCTGTTCTTTTCTTTCTATGCATCCTACCAAAGCAAAAATGTCCTGGTGTCAACTCGCATATTACCTTCAGACAACCAAAACAAATCATTTTTCTTTAACTATGAGTTAAAAAGTCCATGCTGTTGTGTTCAGACCTACCTGGTGATGTCCTCGATGAGCACAGACGGGTCTGGAGGGTAGAACTTGACAGAAAATCCGAAGACCCAGGAACCAACTGTGGATAAACCACCAGAAATTATGTTTTGTGAAGGACTGTATGTTCATTAAAGTGTGTGTGAGTGTGTGTGTGGGTGTGTGTCTACTGTACTTACCCCGAATTTGCTTCTTAATCTCTTTGGAGGGATCCAGCCAATTCTGATATAAAAAAGAAGGAGACAATCGCCTTTGAGAAATTCCACCTCAGCAAAATCATCCATATTCACATTTTTAAGAGCCCTTTTAAGCACTCTTCCCTTTTTAAATCTATTCCCTAGTTGAAAGCCAAATATATTCATGCTACAAGGAAATGGATGAAGGCTTCTATAAACACTGAAAGCATCAATACTGGGACTATAAATGCCAGTTGAATCTAGCTCCCTCTGCTTAATGTCACCACAGCTTTCATGGTGCACTGTAGACCCCGGGTACCGTTTTTAAAAGGCCATACTGTCTAATCACATTTTAAAAGGTTAAAGGCCATGTATGCCACACTCAGGCCGTAAGTGCTTAAGCACGGTTAAAAGGCCAACCAGGGACTCACTGCTTTATTACACCTGGAAAAACAGTCTGGTTAAATGGACTGGTTTGCCAAAGGGGTGATTGACATTTGCTCTGAATTCGGTGACAAAATCCAAATAATATAATATAGTAAAAGCAGGCATAAAGAAAGACCAAATTAAATAACATAGATTTACTATGTTGGCCTTGCACTCTATAAAGCTATTCACAGAATAGATCCACAGAAGGATCTAAATTACCCCCACATATTATTAATAATCATCACTGTGGTAATGAATATGATAACTTGGAATAACAAACACAACAACTATACAACTGCTTTACCATTTTATGCCAGATTATTATCCAGGAAATTAGAATTCTGAGGGCTCCTTTATTCAGTTAAATGCTTTATCACATGCTGTATGAGTCAACAGATGAGTCAAGAGGTTCAGTTACAGACCTGAGAATGAATAAATATATGTAATGTCCCCAAGTGTGATATCTCTGCACGTGTGAGTGTATTGGTGCTTCTGTGTGTCTGACCTTGGAGTTGTCCGTGTCCTGGAAAGTCAAGCCAAAGTAGTCCCTCTCCAGCAGGTTCAGATGGCCACACACCATGTCCAGCAGGGTCTGGCCCTTGGCAAATTTCTGTTACACACACACATGCATACAAACATATAAGAACTCACAGCGAGTGGGCAGGTAACAGGTTTAGGTTGTATGAACGGCATGAACTGTAAAAGACAAAAAGAGGAAGAAAAAGGGGAATCTTCTGGCTTAGTGCTTAAAACCCATAGCATATAACTGTTCACATATTTCCTGTCGGTTAATCAGCTGGCATGAATACAAAATTTAATCTAAAAAAAATCTTAAGAAAAAGAAGATTTGTATAACTTTCCTAGGATCTTAATGATTATAAAATGTATTTATTATAGAATTCTGTTGTTTAGTAAAATAATAGCTAGATATTATTTTACTGGACAATGATATCTTTTATTTATTCATATTTCCTAACACAAAGGGGTCAAAAAATATCAAGGACATGCAAATCCACCCCGACTGTGGTCTGAGAGATGCTTCCAGTCTTTCCTGTCGAAGAAGGAGGAGCTACACTCTGTATGACCATATAAGGGAAGCAATTGCATTTCGCATCAGTGGCGTTTCAAGAGACCACACCTATTTCCTATCCGGTCCTTCAGGGCTGAGAACAACGACTCTGTGGGTTGCACAGACGGCCTTGGCAAAATGCTATTTCCAAACACACACACACACACACACACACACACACACACATGCACAGACACGCACACACAAACAGGGACACACATGCCAGATTAATCTCCTAGGGAAACCTGGCTCCTATGGCGACAAACCAACCAAGCAGCTGTTACCATGGAAACAGAAGTAATAGGTCCCTTCTGTATGTGTGTGTGCCCTCTCACTTTCTCTATCTCTGGTTACTACAAGGCCGCCACAAAGCTTTGTTCAGGCTCTTGTAAGAAAAGCTGGCAGTACAGTCAGCAAACACTTTAAACATTTAGGAAAGGCTAATTAATTAACCATTATAAAGCGATCTGCCTCTCAGTCAAATAAATAATAATATACATCCTGCTGCACTTGGGCTGCCATGGGCATAGTAGTGAGAGAATAATGCTGATTAACAGGCGAGAGACTGCAGTCAGAGATTTTTCGGGGAGCGGCGCATATATTCGATTTTCTCACAAAATGAAATTGCAACACACATTTCAGGTGGTCCCCCAAGCATAGCAACCAATTCAGGAGCTGCTGATGAGATTTTGTTGTCGCTCCAATTGGCTCCAATCACATTTCTGTAACTAGTTCTGTGGGCTGATTGTGTTAGCAGCCATTTGGTGTAATCCTAGAAATCCATTTTGATGATCACCTCACCCATGCAAACAAGATGAGGAGAGACAGTGTATGTGTGAATGGGTTAATGGTTGGTTGAGGAGAAAGAACATTTATTGAACTGAGTCACTTTAAGTAATGCAACTGGAGGGATGGCATCGCGGAATCTGATAAATAGAGCAATACTGTAAAGATGTGTTGGTGTAACTTTGATTATGCAATGTAATAGCACGTCTTTGTTGCTCAACCTTTACAGTTTCCAGCAAATAACCATATTTAACAGAACCATATAATGACCGTTCAATTTACTTGCAAACGGAACAATTTAAGCAGTTATAGGAGTACTCCAGTGATTTTGGGTTATACACTTATACAAGATTTTGGTCAAATTTGAAGTAGCACAGGCCAAGATCCTGACTTTCAGTCCCTATCATGGGTGAAGCTCAGAATAAATGCTGGAACCTACATTTCCTAAATGCAATTCAATATCATCTTTCATTAGACCTTCTGATAAATGCCCATGTTTTTCAAATCCCACAACCTCAGTTTGTAATCCAGGTTTTCTGTAATCAATTTGAAGCCTCTAAACCCAATCCAAGCTAGGGATTTTTTCACACTTCAGAAAGCTCAACTGTTTTCACAGGTTTTATAGTACTCCTTGTAATGAGTGAACTGACCCCATGTAAAGTATAAAATAGTTGGAATTCCCCTTTAATAAAACAGCAGCCTATAGTAAAAACTCGACATTGGCTCAAGAATATTTTTTCTCTTGATTTCACAGACACTTTTAGCTGAAGAAAACAGAGTGTTGTACTTCACACTGGATAAATTAAAAGAGCCAGTGTGTAAATGTAGGAGGATCTATTGGCAGAAATGGAATATAATATTCATCGGTATGTTTTCATTTGTGTATAATTACCTGTAAATAATAATCGTTGTGTTTTCGCTAACCTAGAATGAGCTGCAGCGAAACATGTTTGATTGGTGCTATTAAAATGGGAAGAAATTATGCAGAATATACTGTAGATAAACTGATTTTATGGGGCTTCAAGTTTTTTCAAAAAAGGCCAGGCTTGGTCCCAGTGTCATGAATCATTTCATTTGGTTTTTCACTGGGTAACCACAGGATTACATGAGCTTCACATGTATGGAACTGGTGGTTTTCTCTGCAGAAAGTAAGAATGATGAATGTTTGAATGCCTTTATCTTGTGAATACATAGATGTGTCGCATTTTTTATAGCGGGATTGCTGCTACTTCTGCATCCCTCTTTGGAAAGAAATGATTTTGGTTGGGTCATGATCTTACAGTTTTGTGTTACAATTCTCGCTACTAAGTGAAAAAGAGATACATTTGATCAGTGCCAATACAGGATATACTGAGGATAAATGCCTGAAAGAAATATTATATTATTTTAATACTGTCACTGTGTGAATAAGGCACCTCATAAATAGCTGAGCTCTGAAATATCAGTGGCTTTGAATTCAGAAAACGCAGACCCCAAACAGCCCTGCCTTTCTACTAAAGTGGAAACTCACATGTTCATGTGGTTAACCAGCAAAAATGAATGAACCGTGAAAATGAAAATTAGCATTTCTTGGGTTGGACCTGCGGAGGAAATTACGTTCAGCCAAAGTTTAAGTAGTTCAAATACGCGGTTGGTTTCCTCAGGATTTAATTTAAAACACACACTTGAAAAAGTTTGTGAGCTTGAAGGCAGTGAAGTACTGTCAGCAGGTGGTGGAGTTTTTTCTTTGTGGCTTTAGGTTAAGGACTGGACAATGTAAATGCACTGCACTCAATCAATATCTATAATGTCGTGAGCCAAACGTCAATAGGAGGCTAAGGCTGCTTCTCTTTGCTTTTATCATCTGGGCTCGCTTGCTCTGTGGACATCATGGCTGTAATTAAAGTAATGATTTCATTGCATTCATCATTGTGTCCCTGCTTGCTTTTTTCCATTGCAGACACAGTGATATATACACTCCCATACATACTACAGTAGAGAAGCAAGCACCCCTGGTATCTACCTCCTCTCCATCTTTCTCTCCACTTCCTCCCCCACTCTCTTCATCTTTTCCTCCTCCTCTTTCCTTCAGCCATTCTATTTTCTCCCCGGTCAAACATAAGAGCACTCATCTGTCAGCTCTATGGATTTTCTGTCAAAGCTCAATACCTCTAGTGTCACTGCCCAGGTGACATGAAGAAATGTGTGTGTATGCATGCACGTAACCAAGACAGAAGGAGAGATGGGGTGGGGGGGCTCAGTCAGGACTTCAGACATATTTCTCCAGTCGCTGCCTCTGCAAAGTAAAATATGTGAGGTCACGTGGGAGGCAGTAAGCCATAAAAGGAATATAGTTGACATGAATGAGGTCGGGCGGCCAACAAGATCATTTCCTGTCACACATCACACATAAGCAGCAGCCAATGGGGTTCCAGTGCAGGCTTTAATGTGATTCATGGCAGCTGTGTAAGTCCTGCCCAGGATCTCCCTCTGGTGTGGAACCTTCCACGCTCTCCCTCAGAAGTCATTATAATAAAGGAACAGATTCATTTTCTGCAGTGTTCTGTCATGATGAGTGTGTTGGTACTGTTAAATTCACATAAACCAAGAGTGGTGGGAATTTGTCTGTTTACAAACACAAAAGGCTACAGAGTCACGATTCATGGAAGCCGGGGATAGCTCATCTGAGCCTTCCATCCCCCACAAAGTAGAGCTTGTCTTACCTCCCTCCACCCATCACTCCCCCTCTCAGTCAGAATAGCAGCAGAGCTGCATTTCCTGACTCAGTAGCATGAATTACCGGGGGAGACTAAATCCCACTGAGGTGTACCGTGGTGCGGTGTGCTGAGTCAAGGGCTCTGTTTAACTAGGGGAGATGTACACCAGCTTCCTAAAATGCTGTATTTCTTGTCACTCTGCAAAGCAAGATATGCATTTTAAGCATGTGGGCATTTAAGAATCGAGAAACTGCCAAACTGTGTTTTAATGGAACTGCAAAACAACATTTTGAAATTATTTATTCAATAATGTTTCTGCATGTTTGCAGAATTGCTTATGGTGAAACTATTATCAAAGGATACCTCTTTGGAAAGAAAACTGTTTAGCTGTGAAGCTGGAAGCAGCTTTAAATTATTATATTTGCTATTTTGGCCATCATTTCTTTTGGTTATGATAACTTTTATACCCACCAAAGTAAATGCCGAGATCTGGAAACACGGTGAAAACCCTACAATGAAGACAAGCAATCAGACAGCTTGTGAACTAAGCCCTGATCCAGAAGAATATGGAGTCATGGATGGGTGGAAGTTGTCTTAGCAACCTATGAATTGGGGACAAACAAAGGTAAAGTAGCAAGTTTGTTGTAAACCTCTGACTAACTCTGATTGCTCATGTCTTGTCCCATCTGACTTCTTTTTAGTGATGTCCCAGATCTCAACTTGATGGGTAAAAGGCTGTTGTTACAGATAGAACCAATGGCCAAAATTATGAAAATAATAATAGGATTAATCAGCCATTTTCTCTATCCTTGATGACACATGAGTAGCATACCTCAACTGCAGCCTCATAGTCTGAGCCGTCCAGTAGAGTGACTTTGACAGGGACAGTCTTGGGCCGCTTGGTGGTTTTCTGTGGGGATTTGGAGGCTTTGCTGGGGGTCTTCTCTGAGCTATCATCCTCGGCAGGGTCCTCTGGAACCTGGGAGAGAGAAAATCCTTCCTCTGAGTGGGTGAGCTTCAAATCACATTGTACTTTCATTTTAAATATTTGAAATCTGAGTCTCGGGGGGGGCATTATGTACTTGTCTGACAAAGTGATTTAAAACCAAAACCTCTCATCATGTGAGGCAATCATCAAATGCATGATGTAGTGTGAGCTGCTGCTCTAAGATGTTAAGATGTTAAGTTACTGGCACAGACAGAGGGGGCTAGCTGCCTTGCATATAAAACAGGAAGCCGGAAGGCCCCTAAGTGATTGAAAGGCCTGAGTAAAATGATCTACAGCTGCTGTGAGCTCCACAGCGCTCCCACCTGATTGGTTCTCTTGGCGTCACCCTCCATTGCGCTCTTCATTTCCCCAGCCAAAGCCTTCTCTGTTGTCATTGAAATGGATTGCAGTCCTGCAACCACACATAAACATGTTCAGTCAACATCAAATCTTTTCCCCTTTCCAGTGTTTCCTATGGACTCCTGGTGGATTTAACTCATGAGATGTAAGCAAAACACACTCCCATCTGAACACAGCATACGAAATCTTCACTTCACACGCTGATGTAATAAAAGGCAGCAGTCAGGGCTACCTGTGGTGACATCACATCCAATTGTCTTTGCAGCTGACAGCTGCTGTGTGGTATTTTCTAATTATCCTGTACTGCCATGCAGATTGAGCATCTTTGTCACATGCATGGTCATTGCATTGTGCATGGAGAAATGGTGAAAGAGAGAAAGGGGGTAGCTCTTGGCAGTGCTGGCTCACAGCCTCCCACAGGAGCACTCTGCATGAAGAGTGCTGGCTTCAGGATGCTCTCTTCTCACACTAGCAAAGGAGATAGCATAAATTACATCAGCCAGAGAGCCCTGCGGCAGCACACAAGACAGCAGACACACCGAGATAGAGAAAGAGAGAGAGGGAGAGGAGGGGAGAGATAGAGAGACAACAAGGAAAGAGAGGGCACTGGGAATGTGACAACAATCTGAGGATGAGACAGGAGGAAGGAAAAAGTAGCACAGAATAAAAGGCAGAGGTTACGGGGAAAGAGACACCAGGGAATGGAAAAGAGAGGAGCCGGAGAGTGAGACATACAACAATGATGATATAATATTCGGGCGTGGTGGAGACAGATGAGGGTTGTCATCTGAAGGTGACCACGACTATACTCGGGCTGGACTCTTGCATGGTGCTCTTTTTCCGGGTGACATGCAGTTACAATAGCTGATATTCAGATTATGTGGTACAGCTAAGAGAAACGAATTACCAGAGATAAAGCCCAGAGTGAGGGTCACAAGTTAAACATTCCTTATATGTCAGCTGAAATTTTCAAAGATAATATGGGACATTTTCTTCCAACATGGTGTTTTAAATTCTACTCTTAAGCCATTTTTGGAGCGGGACTGGATTGTGATGAGATAGTAATGCAGAGTTTTATGTAGGTGCTTTTCCAAGCCTGGCAAAAAAAAAATAGGGTGGTAGCTGCCGAATTATGAGGTGGTTTCCTTTCCTCAAGTATATTGTTTATCTTAGCACTAGACATGCAAACACTACTGTATAATGTAACAATTTCTTTCTTCTTCACGTTTCAGGAAACATGACAGCCTAGGACACGTTTAATTCTGTTTAATAACTACCTATAAAGTGTTAAAAGACCATACAGCCATAAAGAGAATGTGCGTTTTTAACTACAGAAGCTCTCATCAATTGTTTCTTTGAGCATGAGAAAACTATATCAACTGCTCTAAATTTGCACCTTATCACACATGCTGTGAAGATGTTTGTAATATAAACCTTGAAGCTGAAATTGAAAAAAATCCTAAAGTCAAGTAAGAGGTTAATTAGAGAAAGGGATTAGTAAGGAGGGGACATGTGAAGCTCTGATAAAAAGTACAAAGCATCCAGGGAAAACTGTCATTAGGGAGGAGCAAAACAGAAGCTTAATTTGGTCTAATAACGGCCAGCAAAGTGTTTGTAAACCAGGAAAAGATATGGTTGTATTTCCCTAAAAGAAGAGGCCCCAATTAGCAATTTCTTCCTCAACCAGCTGTCTGAGTACATCCCTGTGTTTACAATTTGGGAGGCTGGAACACAGTACGTCTCAGCTTTCATGATAGGTCAGCCTCCCTCTGCATAATGAAGCCGGATCAAAGAGGAGTGCAGTCTGGCTCCAGGAAGGCTGCAGATGTCACACTCACACTGTGCAGTGTTCCTCCTCAACTTTGAAGGGCCTGCAGGTTGTTTAATTAAAATGCATAATAATATAATTGATTTTAAAAGATAGTCTCATTAATACTTTATATTACATGCACCAATAACATTTAGGAGAGTTTCAGATTAAGATGGTAGTGAGATATATATTCCGAAGCATAATTCCATGTGGAGATTTGTCTGCACGACAATGACTCATGTTTATGCAGTGAGACAATGTCAAATCAAAGTCAGGCAAGGGAAGCAACCAATTTACATTAACGCATATGTGCAGAACTCTATGAAGAAGCAGAATAGCTGTGAAACAAAACTTTCAACAGCATTGAGCATAATGATGAGTAAACCTGACTCCTGTCATAAACATCCTTCCGCTGTTCCAAAAATATCTCAAAGTTATAGTGTGGATTCATGCTAGCCATAAATTATTCAGTATTACTGTATATCAACATCATAGTTAGATGAAATAATAGTTAGAAACTGATAAAATTTACAAGTTTTCATTTTCTGTGTATAAAGACCTTTTGTTGATATAACAGTCACTGACACACAGTTCATTACACTAAATAGTACATCACTGTATATGTTGGGAGACAAGTAACACGAAACCGCTGTTCATAAATGCTAAAGATATAGTCGAGACAGTTTAGACAATAATGCAATTACATAGTTTGTCCATCAGGGCTGTTTCATATATATATCTATTGGTCAACTGGTCCGCCACTTCTCTTCCTATAGGGCCACTATGAGGTTGATACATGATGAAATGTCTTAACAACTGTTGAATGAATTGGCATGCATGTGTTCAGAGAATGAATGGTAATAACTTAAGTGATACCCTAACATTTTATCTAACTCCGTCACCAGGAAAAAATTGCGTAGTGCAAATGATCAAATGTTAGCATAACAGCCCACTAAACCAAGATGGTGAACATTATACCTGCTAAACATTAGTATGTCAGCATATTAGCAGGCATATGTTAGCATTTAGGTCAAAGCACATCTGTGCCTAACTGCCTAACAGAGCTGATAACGTGGTCGTAGGCTTTTAATCTTGTTTAATTTTAAAGTGTAAGTGTTGCCAGTGTAAACCGGAGTCAAATCTAAGGCATTGAGGTTACGTAGTATATATAGTACCTCATTTTATATAATCACTGTTATTCAGTATACTGAGAAACACAGTAAAGATGATTCAAATTCCAGTCTTTTACCTTGACATGCACCTCTAATCTGATCTCAATCCTCTGATAAATATCAATTCTCCCAAACACTCACCGAGAGCGAATCAGATCTATCCAATGTAATAAGCTACCCTCACTCTGTACAAATGTCAATCCCCATGAAGCAGCTGTCAGAACAATGCATCAGTGAATCACAAGCAAACTTGAGGGGAATTTCTAATAGATCAGTGTCAGAGACTTTAGGGCGCTCATTTCACACACATCATGATCGCAAGGCCAATCAATTCTTTCATTTGGGTCATTTTGTGATTCAATCACTCCGACTCTACATCAGTTCTGCTCTCCGCACAACTAATCATCTGTGCGAGGGAGGTGATGGAGACTGAGATGTGAGAGGTGCTGCGGCTGCTTAGACTCAAATTTCTCAAACAGTCATTGTCTTCAAACAGACTCCCATTAAAGGTCTTACTCCACAAAATCGTCTCTCGGCCTTTAGTTCATGAACTTCAAAGAGCAAGCATCAAGGAAAGTCTTTGTGAAGTATGACAGCATCGGGGTAGGTGAGGCTCTGAAAACAATGTACAGGATTGAAGGCCTCCAAAAATAGTTGCATTACGTGAGTTGGCTTTTCTTTCTTTCCTTAAGACAGAAATACTTTTTGTATTTATACATCAGAAACTTATAGACCAAATTAAGACACTGTCAGACTAGATGTGGGAAAGTGCTTGTATTAGGATGGTTATCTAACTAATGGACATTGCACTCAAACACCACTATGATAATGTACTACAGTGTTAACATTTGCCTGAGTCATAGACAACCAAAATAATTCCAGACAGCTTCTTCTCTATTTCCACTCTTGTCTATTAATCTCAAACTGTGTGGGAATGGGTGTCTGGGTGTGGTGTATGTTTGTGTGTGTATGGGTGTGTCTTTGGCCTGATACAAACTGATTGCATGAACAACTAACTAAAGGTCGCAGCAGTCCCAAACTACCTGATTGTAATTGTACCAGACATCAACAGATGGAAGTCGATAGAAATAAAGGGGGAGTTTTGCAGCCTGTTCTCACTGTTTATCCACATTGTTGAATGAAGACATACGGGAAATACAGGCGGGAAAACCAAAACAATGAGCTGAAAGACGCTTTGAAGCTTTGTAGAACTACGTGGAACAATAATTCTCTATGGGTTTATCACTATAATTGAAAGCTTATATGTTGCTCATAATCATTAGAGCTATTGCTATCATCATATTAATATTTAATGTTTACTATAGCCACTTTAAGATTTAAAACAAAGTTTCCAGGTGCCACTGCTTTAATCTATTCAATGTTAAACAGCTGCTTCAATGCCCACATGCATTGTTGGACAATTTGACCTTCCAGGAACAACATCATAATAATCTTAAATTCTGAAATGTTAAATCCACATAAAATATAAATGCAAGATAATGTTTTTTGAGCTTCTGAATTTTGATTTTAACTTGAATGAGTCAGCTGTCGATTCTCTACTGATAGGTGTCTGGTGTTGTTGAACTGTGCACCATACAAGTCAACATGTCTTGTTTTGACATTGACTCTCTTTAAAAAGAATCAACGATTTCTAAGCTTCACAAATGTAGAGTACATGTTTTCTTTCTAAATCATTCAGTACAGAATGTTCAGTCTGGAATGTATCCTGTTTCAGTTCATGAACCAAGTAATTAGTGCTAATAGTTTTCTAAGTCTAGCCTAATTACAGTCTACTTTTTTATACCAATGCCCCCATTGCAACCCCACCCCCTCCACATTATGACCTGACAAAAAAAGTCTGTACAAAGTTCTAATTGTTATTCATTCAGTTAACTGCAGTAAATATTATTTTCCTATATGAAATTCTTTCTCAAACTGCACTTCAAAAAATTAAAGTCTGATAAAGAATAAAAAACTTATCCTTTCTGAAGGTCCTGACTGCTGGAGGCACACAAGAACACTTAGCAAATCTACCTGTATAAACCCAGTAATTCGTACAGGACAGGTGGG